TTTAGAATTCCGTAATTCTAAAATTCCCATTTTGTCCTTTATCTCTGGTAGTCATTACATATAGATTAATCCTCCATAAATAATTCATAATTAGAGTCAGGTAGAATCCGTTAACCTCTCTAATTATATCTGCATCCTTGAGTACTATTGATTCTCTAATGGATAGTGATTCATAAAACACATTCATGAACCAGAGCGCTCTTACTAATCCAAGTACCGAATCAACACTCAAGAGAATTATTTATCTACTTCTTTCTCAAGAAGGAATGGATTCCATCTCGTATAATAACATTCCCAGCTACCTATTTCATTATGTCTCCAAAATACAAGGAATAGGATTCAAGGTCTCGGAATCCGTGCTGAGTAAATCAAAGACATAAATCCATAAATAGGAGTTTGTTAAGAACTCAGGATTAAGATCATCCTATATATGATCATCGGTAGACTCAATTAGAATTTCTATGCTTAACAGAAATTATTAGAAATTCATATTGTGTCTGTGTCCTTGTTCCACATAATCTTATTATGCGAAATACACTCATTCAATATCTCGCCATATTAACAGTGCGGATAACACCGTTCCATTCTAAATGGGAATGACATGTATTAATAATGTTTTAATTAAAGATTCTGAACTTTAATTAAATTCATCATGAACAATGTTTTTTATTATTATCCTTAAACACTATCCTCTCGTATATAACACTTATATACTATGTTTAAGGTTACATAAACAATCACGAAATTTTCATTTGATATTCATAAAATATTCATAAATATATGCACATAAAATGATGAATAAACTCTTTTATTAATTAAATAATAAATATCCTATTACATCTCATGCTTCTAGTACACTATTCCCAACAGTATCTTACAGCAACTAGACCTGACATCTTGATTGCTGTGAGTATTTTATCACGGTTCATGCACTGTGCAAGTGAAATACACTTGAAGGCTGCTAAGAGGGTGGTTAGATACATCAAAGGCACAATCAACTTTGGCATCAAGTTCAAGAAAAGCAAGGAGTTCAAGTTGTTTGGTTTCTTTGATAGTGATTGGGCAGGATCTATTGATGACATGAAAAGTACCTCAGGGTACTGCTTTAGTTTTGGATCAGGAGTTTTTTCATGGAGTTAAAAAAAACAAGAAACAATAGCTCAATCTACTGCTGAAGCAGAGTTTGTTGCCGCAACTGCTGCTGTAAATCAAGCTTTGTGGCTGAGGAAGATATTGAGTGATCTTCATCTTGAGCAGAAAGAAGACACTAAGATCTTTGTTGATAATCAAGCTGCAATAGCTATTTCTCATAATCCAGTTTTTCACGGGAAAACTAAACATTTCAACATCAAGCTGTTTTTCTTGAGGGAAGTGCAGAAGGATGGTGTTGTAACTCTTATTTATTGCAAAACAAAAGAGCAAATAGCTGACGTTTTTACTAAACCCTTACCAGCTAGCAAGTTCAAGTTCCTGAGAATGACACTTGGAATGTGTAGCATCTAAACAAGGAGGAGTGTTAGACATGTGTTTTAGAGTGCTGCCACGATGCAGAAGTGGTTCAGCCACGTTGTCAAACTTTGTTTTACATTTGAATGATTCAAAGTAGTCTACCTAGTTTTTAGGAAGTTGTTGATTTTTCTGTCATGCACGTTTGTAACCATGGCACGTTAAAGGCTATGACTTTAGTTAGTTGTTGTTTATCAAATTATAAATTGTAATGTTTCTACAATTAATGAAGATGATTAAGTCCTTTGCTAGTCAAACACGTCTCTCTAAAGATATTTTCTTTTCTAATTAACAACACACTTAACGAATAATAATAAAAAAAAATCCAATGGATGAGATTATTTTTTCGTTTTATTTAATATTTGAGATCTAAACTTGATATACGTAATAAAAGAAAGTGAAAAAGTGAGATAAATTTTAGAATTGTCCATATTAATTATAGTTTCGTTTAAAAGTGGGCAAATCTATCCGCAGGAGCCCAGCAAAGATTCATGAAAAGCGACGGAAGGTTGAATGTGTAAGTTTAGTGGAAGACTCTTTAGTGGGCGCAATATCTTCAAAAGTGACCTCATATAATTAGTACTATCGTAGTATCGTTGACAATAGGATCTGTTTCTAATAGAGGACAAACTACAAGAGTCACACAAAAAGTTGACTAAAACAGTATTGAGATTTATGCATAAAATGGAGAACCCACAGGCCAGAAAAATGTTGCTCTTGATCTATGATTACCTCTAGTTTTGCATCTTCCTTTTAGGAGAGTTTACATCACTAAGTAGTGGAGTGGGGATCATACGGAATTTTTTAGTAGAATAAGAAAAAATTATTACTGAAAATTTTTTATTTTTAGTTAACAGATCTATATCACAAACTATTTATTCTCTATAATTTTTTAATCTATTATGATTTTAATCTAAATTAACGATTAAAAACTATCTTTATCAATAAAGAGATCCTCCCGAACAAAGTCCAATACTATTATAATATTATATATACAACTTTTTAATGGCCATAGAGCATGGAAAGAGCAAAATTGAAACTTCCTGTGCGCCCATTATAGTCCTAAATATTTATGTTCGTCCACTCTGCAGAGCAGTGTATAAATGGGGTCCATGTTGGCTTTCAGTTGATGTTCAAAAAGAGAGAGAGAAAAAAAGAAAAAAGAAAAAAAGGAAGATCATTTTGTGGGGCACTTATTTTATGTTCATCCTAAAAGTGCAATTTAATTATTCTGATTTATTGGGATCTATCTTTGAATAAGTCTAAAATTATGAAAATGGTAAAAAGGAGCATAAAGTAGGACAAACTATAGCCAATTTATTCCAAACCTAAAATTTAAAATGACGAATAGCATAAACAGTTAAAAGTAAGAGACTTGTTAAGTAGCTTCTTTCTTTTCTTCTATTGTTAAGTGCTATAATTATATTATCACGATTATCAATACTGTCACTATCAATATTATTGCCATTGTCGTAATTTTATCATTACTATTCATTTTTTTTTTGTCCCGTATAGAATTCTTAAGGAGCTATTACTATTAGTTTGTGTGCAATTCTAGAAGAAAGATCGCATCAAAATAAAACAAAATTGAAAAAAAGTATGCACACGTAACCAAATCAAGAATAAATTCTTAGAGGACGTTTGGTTTATGTATTTAGAATTATAAAAGGCTAAAAAATTCTTAGAAACCTTAAAAAAATCCTAAATAAACCTTAAAAAGTACAAAACCCCTAAAAAATATTAAAAACGCTAAGAAAACCCTAAAAAATCCTAAATAAACCCTAAATAAATCATAAAAACCCTAAAAATACAAAAAACTCCTAAATAAACCCTAAAAACCTTAGAAAACCCAAAAAAACTCTAAAAACTCTAATTAACATGAAAAAACCCTAAAATTCTAAAAAACCCAAAATAGACCCGAAAAAACCCTAAGAAATGCTTAAAACCTAGAATTATTTTCGTTTTACGTGTATTTTTTGTAAGAGAAAACACTATAGAGAATCATGAATAATTAATTAAGCTTTTGAATTTTCCACTAAAGTAGTTGAATTTTATGGCAATAAACTTGAGCTTTTGGCCAGAATCCAAATTGCAATCAGTAATTATTCCGTTTCATCTCGGCCGACCCTCAGAGCATTTATAAGCTGGGGTCAAAATATGCTTTCCCACTATGCATGTTCCAATAATAATAATAATGATATATAAAAAAAACACACACCCGCGTATTGGTGTTTAAAACCATCTTATCATATTACGATCATATCATATAAAAATATATAGAATTTAACAAAATTTAATCTAAATCTGACGGTTTAAAACTGTACCTAGCGGTATCCTACTGCATGATAATCCAACAGACATAGATGGCGACAAATTATGTTTGCGTGTGCCAAGCTCACGAGCATTGCTTTATATGATAGGTCCTTACCATCCCCACATGGACTGTCTAGTGGCTATTGATGAATATCATGTTTGTTTGCTTCCTTTTGGTTGGGATTGCGTTTCATTCTCTATGTATTTGAGTAAAAATCATGGCACTAATTATTCCTTTGGCTTAATCATATAAAAAGTCTTGATATACTTTTCATAGACCGACTACATAAATCCCGTATGTCCATACAGATAAGTACGATGATTATAGTTTTATAATTGTACGTAGTAATGATCACATGTGGATGTAACTTCAGGAAATGACAGAAAATGGTTTCACATGTATGAATAATAGCATTTTGGATTAATCAAAGCAATATATTAAAGGTGTATTAAGACCTTTTTTTTCTGCATATTATACGCATATTATACGCAGTTGTGCATATAAATAAATCCAGCAATATCAACTGGATGCGTTTTCTTCTGTTTAGTTCTGTTACAATATAATGCTCTTGGAATAAGAATAAAATGATGATCTGGATCAGTGAATGAGCAAATACTGGGTGTCCATTTTTTTTTTCCTTTTTGGGATTTCTCTAGTTGGCATAAAAAAAAAAACTCTAGGTTTTCAGCCGTTAAATTTATATCAGATTCCGTAATAATAAAATACACTAATAAGGAGACTTTACCAACTCAAGAAATACCCTTCTTCATTTGAAAGTGGGTTTTAGACGGTGGATGGAACTAGGCTGCATAGGTGATTTGAGGCACTACAAAGGAGGGTCATCATTTTCTTTGTTATCCAAGAGAGAAGAGAATCTGCCTTACTTTTATCATAGTAAACAGAGCAATTTTTCATTTTTTTTCTCTTTTTGAACACATCATTTTCTACTCAATGTGGATGACACACGGACCCCACATGCCTGGTTACAAGTTACAAGATGCAAATTTTCAATGGTCGAATTTAAACCACTTTCAATGAGAGAATATCTATCCCACAAAAAGATTATCATAACCACCTCAATAATAAGTAATAATAAAAGAGAAATGTCAATAATAAGGGGTCAGACAAGTCAAGCCAATGCCTCTGTGATACTGAGTAGTAGCCTTCATTTTTCAATTGCCATAATAATTGCTATAAATATAAGTGTTCCATAGGAATTGATGAAGCACTTTCTGCCAAGTTTTCCTTCCACTACCTTATTTTATTAAGTCACTTTTTGCTATTTCCTCAAACAAAACAGGAACTGCTTTAGATACTTCAACTCTTTAGTGGGATTTAAGTTCTATCCATCCAAGGTGACATTATTACTTGCATAGATTTCTTATCCATCTTAACTAAGCTTTTCACATCTCATAGTTTCACACTTGACTAAATATAATAACTGTTTTCTGTTTTAAGCTAAGCCTAGGAAGTGGGAATCAACATGACCTTAGTGTATTTTTTTTTCCATAATTATGTTATGCAGCGAAATGAACATGGGAGATCGTGAAGCAATAGAGAAGAAGGAGATCGACGAGAGAGACGACTTGGAAGAAAACATAGACGAGCACCAAGTCATTGAGGAGGATCAACCATGGAATAAGTACTTGACAGTGAGAGGAGTCCTGTCAAGCATTGTGATTGGAAGTGTCTACAGCGTCATAGCCATGAAGCTGAACCTCACAACCGGGGTTGTTCCTAATTTCAACGTCTCCGCCGCTCTCCTCGCCTATGTGTTCATCAGGACATGGAATAAAGCGGTTCAAAAGTTTGGATACACGGCGAAGCCCTTCACTCGGCAAGAGAATACCATGATACAAACTTGTTCTGTGGCCTGCTGTAGCCTAGCTGTTGGAGGTTAAATTGTAGCCAAAAAAAAAATTTATCTTTTTATCCACTTTTCGTTAACTTTCTTCTTCCTTTTCATTCTCTCTGGTTCTAAAGAGCAAGTTTCTGTATGAATATTTCAGGAGGTTTTGCATCATATTTATTGGGACTAAACAAGAAGACATATGAGTTATCAGGAAAGCACGCTGAGGGAAACACTTTGAGTAGTACCAAGGAACCTGGTTTTGGTTGGATGAGTGGTTATCTTTTCTTGGTTTGCTTTGTCGGCCTTTTTGTCTTAATTCCTCTAAGAAAGGTACTTTAATTCTCCATTGATCTCCTTTTTATTAAAAAAACTGCAAGATGATATCAAGACGTTACATCAGCATACCTTGGAGACTTCAGACAATTATTTAATGATGATTTTGTCTCCCCTTTTTCTTTTTGGGTTATTTTAATCCTGTTGTTTTTATTGAAGCCCAAAAGCCAAAATCAGCATAGAAAGCAACCATTTCTTTATTAAATTCTAGTAGTTTGAATGAGGAAACTTTTTTGTTTAGGTAGAAAGTTTAAAAGGAAAGTTGGGACATAAATAATAGGTTTTTATTCACTTCTTTGAAGTCGGATAGGAACAACTTCAGGGCCCGTTTGGTTCGCCAATTCGAGTTGAGATGTGATGTTGTGTAAGAATTTTTTACTGTAGTAAAAAAGTTAAATGTGACTGTTTCTGAGAGCTTTTTACTATAACAAAACTCAAATTCTAAACTCGAATCAGCGAAAAGAACGAGGCCTCAGTTACCTTGAAAATTGAAGCACAAAACAGTTATGGACCTTCTTTTAATTTTTTTAATTATTTATTTATTATTTATTAATTTTTATTAATTTTTTATTTTATTTTTTAACTATTGCTGGACAGATCATGATAGTGGACCTGAAGTTGACTTACCCAAGTGGCTTGGCAACTGCAGTTCTCATTAACGGTTTCCACACTCGTGGAGATAATAAAATGGCTAAGTAAAATAATTTACTTCTAGGCTCTTATTATATATGTTTAAAAGATCATATTAGAATCAAATTAGTTTAAACTAATGATCATTGACCTTAACATTCTTCAGGAAGCAAGTACGAGGTTTCTTGAATTATTTCTCCTTCAGTTTCTTGTGGGGATTTTTCAAGTGGTTTTACAGTAAAAAAGAAGAAGAGTGCGGGTTTGCGCAGTTCCCTACATTTGGATTGCAGGCTTGGAAAAACAGGTAGGTTTTAGTTTTTGCAAAGTTCTCACAAACCCAATTCATGAACTCTCTTTCAATATTTGGTGTGAACTTTTGTGGCTTGAAATGGAAAGTTTGAAACATGGGGTTTGAATTGTTGGTTCAAAACATGAAATTATTGGTTTGAACCGAGCCTCAAAAGTTTTGTCGAACGCTGATTGAAAACACTTGAACCTGTTTACTAAACGGCCTCTTTGTTTTTCGTGTTTACCCTTATGTAATGAGAATTTTGTGTTATTTTCGCAGTTTCTACTTCGATTTCAACACAACTTACGTGGGAGCAGGGATGATTTGTTCCCACCAAGTCAACTTGTCCCTGCTTCTAGGAGCTGTGCTCTCTTATGGAGTATTGTGGCCTCTTATTTCTCAACTTAAAGGACAATGGTTCCCTGAAAGTCTAGAGGAAAGTGACATGAAAAGCCTCTACGGTTACAAGGTCTCACTTTTTGCATCCAAGTCTTATTTTCCTTCTGCTGCAGAAAACCCTCACTATTTCTAACTTTAACTTATAATATGCCTTCATTTCTCGGCAGGCTTTTCTATCTGTTGCTCTAATCCTTGGAGATGGGCTCTACAATTTTGTCAAAATATTAGCTGTGACGATCATCAACATCCTTGACAGATTAAAGAACAGAAATAACACGGGTAATATATGAGCAACCTTTAGAACTCTCAATATCTATAATATGAATTCATTAATCAATCACTATTAGGTTTTGAGCAATTGAAAGACACTCTTCTAACCTAAGATTCTGTTTTATCAAACCTACAGCCATTGAAAGGGAGGGGAAACCCATTGAAGAGAAGCAAAACGAGATCTTCCTCAGAGAAACCATCCCCATGTGGGTTGGAGTTGTAGGATACATAATCCTGTCCGTCGTCTCCATAATTGTGATCCCCATCCTGTTCCCACAACTCAAATGGTACTATGTAGTTGTGGCCTACATGCTAGCCCCGTCTCTTGCCTTCTGCAACGCCTACGGAGCCGGTCTAACCGACATAAACATGGCCTACAACTATGGCAAAGTAGCCCTCTTCATCCTCGCGGCTCTCAGTGGGAAACAAAACGGAGTCATGGCGGGGCTTGCCGGTTGCGGTGTGATCAAGTCTGTCGTCTCTGTGGCCTGTACTCTCATGCAGGACTTCAAAACTGCCCATCTAACTTTCACGTCCCCAAGAGCAATGTTTGTGAGCCAAGCCATTGGCACAGCTCTGGGCTGTATCACAGCTCCTCTAAGCTTTTTCTTGTTCTACAAGGCATTTGACGTGGGAAACCCATACGGGGAATTCAAAGCCCCTTACGCCTTAATCTACAGAAACATGGCTATTCTTGGAGTTCAGGGATTTTCAGCTCTACCACGCCATTGTCTCCAGCTCTGTTTGGGGTTCTTTGCCTTTGCTGTTGTGGTCAACATTGTGAGGGATTTTTCACCGAAAAAGATTGGGAAATGGATGCCGCTTCCGATGGTTATGGGTGTGCCTTTCTTGGTTGGCGCTTACTTCGCCATTGATATGTGTGTTGGGACTTTGATTGTGTTTCTATGGCACAAGCTTAACACCAAGAACGCCGAGATGATGGTTCCGGCTGTGGCTTCAGGGCTGATTTGTGGGGAAGGGATGTGGACTCTTCCTGCTTCGGTTCTTGCCTTGACCAAAGTAAAACCCCCAATCTGTATGAAATTTGTAGGATCCTAGGAAAACAAAGTATTGGTTCACGGGCTATATAACGCTAGAGGTCAGATAGCAAGTTTCATAAGTTATAAATTAGCCCTTTTTCAGGTTCAATAGGAATCACATCTTTGAGATATGCAAATGTTTTTGTGAATGAGGAAAAGTGCAGACTGATGCGAAGCTGTTGTACCTTTTTTATATCAATGACAATAAGATTTATGTATCGTGACTCTCTACAGCTTGAATGGCTAGTAGTAGCTAGCTTTCTTCTTTATTATATTCCTTACAATTTTGGCATTTTTCTTGACTTTTGGTTAGTGAATTGATGGCGTGCTCTTGAATTGATGCAAGGTAAGTGACAAAATAGAGAGGTAAGGAGGAGAGATGGGATAAAAAGTGCTGTTCCCGATCAACTAGAATATTCATCGCCCACTTTTGGCTTCCTAAGTCAGTATATGCTAGATTATGTCAGTTTCCAAATCTTACAGGCCAAAATTCTAACCGGACCCACATCTATTCTCCCAACCGACTCCCAGCACAAATAATTAATAATTAAGGCTTGTTTTTTTAGATCAAAACTCAACAAAAATTTAAACTCAAATTATAATTTTATTTAAATTTATGTTCTTTTATAAAATTTGAATTTGAATTTAAATTTGAACTCGAGTTTTAACTTAATATTGAGGTTAAAATCTAAATTCAAGTTCCCCATTCAACTCAAGTTCTTAAACTCAAATTTAAATTAATAAATAATATTTTTTCTATTTTTAAAAACACCATAACCTTTTGTTTTAACTCCCGATTGAGATGATTTTTTTCTATGCGTTCACAATGAAGAGACGAATAAAATCTCATTCATATACCCTATTAAAATCTTCGATCACCGAGTTTTTATTAATATGCTATCTAAATACAAATTCAAGTTTTGACTCACCCAAACACAAACTCAAATAGATTCTCAATTCAAACCATAATTCAAATGTGCACATCTAAACACAAACTCAAATTACAACTTCAACTCAAATTATAACTCAAATTCAACTCAAAATCTATACTCAAATCACTATAACTCAAAAATGCAACCGAATAAGTCCTTAGAAATTTGAGGATGGGCCTACAACTCATAGATTTGAACATTAAGCTACTAGGGTTCATCGAAAATTCAATTCGTTGAATTCCAGGTCCAAATCTTACGGAAATGTGAAAAACAGCAACCATATGAAAAATTGAAGTAACAAAATTGATTCTTCATCGAGAAGTACAGTCTCAAAATTTGAGAATATACAAAAAATTTTATTTGAGCAAGCAATCTTATACATACATCGTACATCATCAACTCAACAAAGTCATGTCATTGGTTAAACATTTAATTTGGGGGTGGGTGTTGAGTCACCCTGTTATAATACCTGCAAGAACATCACTCTTATTTCGAGCATAGATCGTGTAGACTATACGGATAGCGTCTAGCCATCCATCAAGGGATTCCCAAGAATCAGCGACCTGAAGGATCAGAGAGCAAATGCTTTGATTAAAATAAGGTCACATCAGTCTGCAAACTATTTTCGCATACGAAGAAATATCGACATATTTTCATAGTAGATTAGGAATTTAAGAACAATTCTCCCAAATAATCTTGGAAACGTGGGAAAAAAATTTCCACATTGACTGCAATTTGGACAATTGCACTTCAAGGATTCAAATGAATAAGGAATATATAGAGAACTCGTATTAAAATTAAAAAAAAAAAGGAAAAAAGAAAGAAAGAAGATGTAGGATTCGTATGTGCATGCGCGTGTGTTTGTCTATCTCTTCTCTTTTTTTTCCCCCTCTCTCTCTCTCTCTTGAGAAAAAGCTATGATCACTGTTTACGAGGAAGCTCAGTTTATAATACTACTATTAAGCTTAACCAAATATGAGAAACAAACAAATAATCAACACTGATTGTCGACCTTATTCAGATTCCTTGAAACAAAGTTTTCTTTTTTCCATGAAATCTAAATGCATAACCAAAAAGACAGTAAAAGTAGATTTGCTCAATTAGAGATGAAAAGACTAGGGAATATAATCTCCACGCAGCAACTCTAACGTAGCAGTACTTTAAAGGAAACTAATTATAATATGCCAAAGCTAGACAAGGTCTTTGTATATAAGAACAATGAAGTCCAGACTTGAAAAGCTAGACGCAATATCCTTAGAAAATGAACTTTTAGAGCAGTGACTGAATGTCTGATTCTTACCAAAAAGATGGTTCCATGAATTGTATCAATGCAGAGGCCTGCACCAGGTGGCAAGGTCAGATCAGCACATGCTGACACGGAAACGATATCTAGAACATCAACTTTGACGGCCCTTTTGTCGATCTTCGTTGCATCTGATCTACCAGAGAGGCTTGGGGGTACCTGTCTCTGTTGACCTTTACTAATCTGGTGAGGTGGATGAAGAGAAAGAAAAAAGAAATTACGCGAAAGAAAAAAGAAATTATGCAAGGAATAAAGATCAAGACAAATAAGTAAGTGTAAATGTGTAATAAAATCAAAACGATTCTGCACTAAAGCAAATGGTGTATTGCAGATAATTTATTCGCTCACAGTAGGAAATGTTGCTATACTTTACCTGTTGAAGGCCCTCATGATTCAAAACAAATTGTGATCGTTTCCACTCATTATGAGGTGCAATTGGTTTCCCCGCAGGTGGCGCAGTTAGATACCCAACTTTAAGATATGGTAAAGGAAGCTGTAAAAGATTTAGTTTTGTCAGTTATATCATGTCGAATCCTTCACACAACAAAGAATGAATCAAAATATACAAGTCCTGAAAATTGATATTTTTTGTAGTGAGTTACTCCTTTCATTCAAGATAACCATATCTATCAATAAGAAAAAAATATATATATCTAAAAACTTCTTCCTTAAAAAAAGGAGGGGGAAAAAAAAGGGAACAGAGGAGGGCGTATTATTCTCACTTTGCCCATTGAATTTCAGGTTAGTCCCATTTAAGTCCTTTTGTAAGAATTTTTGCTAAAATCATAAAAAAAGGGGGAGGTTAAGAGTGGTCATGTGGTTTTTATCCATTTGCTTTCAACAGATATTCAAACAAAAAGACCATTTGACTACATTACTTTCTTTATTTCTATTTGTTTTTTAAGAAAAACAAAGAGAAATTTCTTCTATGTTATTCATGGTGCCGAGATATACATTTATAGGAAAAGGAAGATTACCAACATGCTGGTAATTCCTTGATTTCAGCTATCAGCTATCAAATCCTGCAGAGAAGGAAACTAACAACTATCTACAGAACCAAATCCTACAGCTATTTACAGCTTAGCAGATCTCCTAATTACAGCCTAGCATATCTCCTAATTACAGCCTGGTATCTTCTAGTATTCGGAATTCCATAGTTTTAACAAAAATTCCAATAGAAGGGGCTAAGTGGGAACAATTCAAATTCATAGGGTAAAGTGAGAGTTTTTAAAGTTCGAGGGGAAAACTGGTAATGACCCTAAAGTTCAAGAGGCACCAGTTATAATAATCCTAAGATTATTGCTCATTGGTATTCAAATATGGTGAACAATTTGATGCATATAGCACTATTTTTAGAAGAAATTTATCGTTTAATCTATTAAGTGATCATAAAGATCCTGGTTCACCTAATTCTAGGGCAGGTTCTAAAGATTTCTATTTTTTTCCTCTCCACGTTAAGGGTTATTAATTGTCCAGATTATTGAAAATCAGGGGAACTTCACTGGCCTCAGAAGCTTGATTTTTGTTCTCACTAATTTGTTTTTGCTTTCATTCATGAATGGAGTGCTTCTATTTTTTCTTAAGTTAACTGCTTTTATTAGTGACTAGTTACTGTTCCATTTAATCCCATACTATGGGATCACTAACAAGGAACATCATCATAATACACTGGAAAGGTCTAGTTTATTGATTTTGCAGAGTCCACGCGAAAATCACAAAATTGATGCTATATTCTCATATCATATATGTGCCAATCTTATAGGCCCAAAATGTTTAATCCAGAGAATTTATACAAGAAAAAATGTTTTGATGATGAGATTCCAGAAAGAGTTCTGACAGAGTAATTACCATGGAACGCACCAGCCGCAAGGCACTGGTGTAAACCTGTAAATAAGCAAGAGGATGAACACTTAGAGAATAACGGAACCCAAGTAAATATAAAAAGTACGAAGACATGAAGTAAGAAATATAAATAAGCAAATGTACTTACGCTATAATTTGGTTTCAACGCATGAGCAGCTGCAATGTAAATAGCAGATTGGCTGTACAACTCATTAGGGGAAACATCCTTGGGACTGCCAGATCCCCCGGTTCTTAGAGTGTCTTCTGCTAGTCCATACTGGAATTAAGAACAACATGGGTGAATAAGCGATGAAAACTTTAGGATTCTCATTATTTACTGCAAAAGAACAGTGCAAATAGTAGAAGTTACAGTGACCAAGCTATCCTAAACTTTAAGTAACAAACTTACCAGAACAGTTCCCAGGTTATAAATCGCGCGATGAAAATCGAACTGCAATTGAATAGCTGCACGGAACTGCAATAAAAGAGAACTGAAATATGTTTATGACAAAAATTTATCAAGAGACAGAGCGTAAAATACAATTGCTGGTTTTCCTATGCAGTCATCCTATTACCCTGATGTTTCAAAAGAGTTGTACCTTGCTAATTGCAGTTCTTACAATTGTTTGCTTTTCCCGAACAGGCACAATAGCACTAAGTTCCTGAATTTTATAATTAAAATGAGATAATAAATTATACTTCCAAAAGCAGAATCTCAATACATTCCAAAAAAGAGTAAAACCTACATGTTTACATCCTAGAAACAAGGAATATTTATTTGCCCAAAAGAAAAGGACAAGAAAAATGCGGTTGATTCAAAGGCAAAATACCTGTAGAGCAAGTCCCCAATTGTTAAGTGCCTGCAATGCATATCAGATACAGATAGGGTTAACGTTGAGGTATACAAGAAGACAAGATGCAAATAAGTTAGCTCATGTTTCTCAAGAGTAATTCATAAAAATCAATAACATAAAATGCATATAATTTTACAACAAAATTATAAAAGTTAAGGAAAGAAGAAAATTTTCTCTTAAAAAAACTAATATTCTATAAGAAATTCATACTCAGACAAGATATGGCCACAACCTTACATAACTACTTCTTCAGACCTACCTGGGGACTGTTCCAGTTTAGTTGGACAGCCTTTTCATAGTTCTTTGTAGCCTGCGAAAACAAATTAAATGATCTGTGCGTTACATTTCCCTTAAGGAGTCTCCAAAGCATCAAAAAACAGACGTGAAAAGTGCAGCACGACTAAAGTACCAAGGTTATATATTCTGACCTGCTTCCACAATTCTTCAGCTTCCTTTGTACGGCCACGCATTTTTGCTCGATCAGAAATTGCTATAGCCCAATTATAAAAAGCCTGCCGAGCAACAAACAGCAAACACTTCCTTAATATTAGTTGGATGGTTATTAACTTCCTATAACTTATACACGAACATATATCACTTAAATGATTAATCAAAGTATCAGATTTTTTAAGGTGTCCCATTTCAAAAACTATTACATTTAATTTATAATCCAACTGTTGTTTAAGGTGTCAGATCATAATGGGGGACAAGTGCACGTACATCATGAAGAGTTGGGCAAAGGCGGGTAGCTTCATCATATTTTTTGCAAGCTTCCTCGAGCAATGCATCTTTTGAAGGTGAAGTAGAGTCTGTACTGACATTATCTGCACTTTCCTGCATACCATTTGAGGATTGTGAAAACAGAGTCAGGTTGCTTTACTTACAAACATAACTATGCAATGTTAACTCCTTCTCAGAAATAATATCATATTTTACACAAAAAGTGAGATATCCAAAATGTGCATTCTTGGAGGAAAATATTAGCACATTTGATGTATTCTGATCCCAATTCATGTCAATATATGCTCTACAATTTCTATTGGCTACCAAGCAATCAATATTCCATTCTTCAGAAACAATATAGAGAATGATAGCAAATCTTCACCAGCACATACAAAGAAAATATCTCTTCTCTCTATCGCGCACTTCAAAGATTTTCAGATACATCGTGGCCATACATGAACAAGAGTATACCACAAATCTATCTCATTACCTATAGTAGAGTAAACGGATAAGTAAATAAAACTAATATTTTTTACTTTGTGTTACCAAATCAAGCAAAGAATGTATGCAGACCTGAAGAACCAATGCCCAATTGTAAAGTGCATCATAATCATCTGGATTTCTCTCTATTGCACTAGCATACCTACAAATTTGCATAGACGTTATGACAAGTATTAAACTTTCAGCCTTATAGTAACTAGCGAAGATGAGAAGTACAACAAGAGGGATAAGATGATGGTACCTCTTGGCAGCAAATGTAAGAACACGTTGGCGAGAACGACCATCCTCATCGACACCAGTTACACTACTAATCAACTCCATCGCAGCATTGTTCTGATCTGTCTGTTGTTGCTGAGGGCTTTCTTGACTGATACAATTCAGAGGACCAAGTAAATAAATAGATTTTCATAAAGGAAGAGAAAATGAGGGTGGAAATTACTATTTTTTTAAATGAGCTTATACTTCTAAAATTTTCTAAATCTCCAATTATAATAGCAATTATTTCGCTTGCAAGCAGGAGTTTCGTGTAACTTCAATACTAACTACACTTAGAATTGTACTAAAGCTTTATTGTTTTCTCAAATCACCAAAGCCTGATACCAATTCATCAAACTACAACCTTGTTTCCTGATCTGAAACTAGCTCAAACAGAATGAGCCCGAGAACAGCCATTTGGAAAAGGAAACTACATACAACACTTCGATCGGCATCTTAAACTCACCAGCAAGAAATTAAAGAAAACAGTGGAGGCAAAGTATTGGAGACTCGAAATTCACAAATTCCCCATATTTCTACAAGATCACAACATTTTATATCGTAAAGAAAAAAGTAATAAACCTCATCCTCGAAAATTCAGAATCCTAAACGTAACAGCATCAATGAATCCTACTAAATTTGTCTTGTTTGATCCTACGACCTAAAGTTTCGGTCATAAAAATCGAAACTTCAAAATTCCAAGATCACGAAACAAAAACCTAAAGAACAGGAAATCATAATTCGAGTGGAAACCGAAAAGCGAACCTGTGAGGAGACGGCGCAGAGTCATAAGCGCCGTCGCTTCCTTGGTCAGTTTTCAGTCCATTGAGCAACTCTCTCATCGTGAACGTCCGATTTCCTTGGTCTTTCCTCAGCTCGGGGTACGCAGCCTCTCCGGCGGCAGAAGGCGAGCTTCGGGCGTCGTCATTGGATCGGATCGAGGCTTCTTTCGGACCGTCCGGCTCGCAATCTGCGACGCTCGCCGGTTCTGGCTCCGTTTGCGGTTCAATCTCGGCTTGCGGCTCCGAATTCGGTTCGGATTGTGGCTCTGGTTTAAGCTCGGGTTTAGACTGCGGTTCTTCAATTGGCTTCTGCTCGGGCTCGCCGACGCCGTTCTGTGGCACTGGTTCGTCAGAGTTCGCGGACATTGTCGGATAGAGAGCTAGGGTTTGCGGAGAAGATGAGATTCAGTCGGAAGTGATCTCAATTGTAAGACTAGTATTGCTGATGAAGCAATGACGGGAAAAAATAGTAAATTGCACTTGTTGCGCCTAATATTTCGTTTTTTGCATGACACACCTCACACAATTATTTTTACAAATTAAACCTGAAATTTTGAAATAAGTAATAATTAGAGGTCCAATAGCTGACGAGCGTTGTCAAATTGAAGGTTTAGAATGTAAAATTAGCACATAAACTGGTTTAAAAAATAACAAGTTTTGCGTTTCACAAGTGAATCTTGTGCCTTCAATTTGATAATACTCATTAACTATTATACCTCAATTTTTACTTATTTTAAAGTTCAAGATGTGATTTTATAAAATTAAAAGTTTGGAGTATAATTACGGAAAAAATGAAATTTTAAAGTGCAATAGTGCAATTTACTCAAAATAATAAAATCATTGTTAATACAATTGATCCCTCAATTATGAATATTGTGTCATTTTGATCCATAAATCTTTAGTTTTGGCAAATTATTCTCTAATTCTCATTTTGATTCTTGATACTATAATTAACAAACAATTTTCGAGATTTCGCGAAGATAATCACTTCTACAGTCACACAATAGTTATTTTTACATAAAAATATTATCACTAAATGTAAAATATTCACTTAGACATGATTATTTTAAAAAAAAAAAATTTAAGAGTTATTTGTCAATTTTAGTGTCATGCAAAAAATGCAAACATATTAAATTTTAGTTATTAATATTTCAAAATTAAAAATTGAGGAACTAAAGTGGCACAATGTTATAATTTATAAACACGAGTGTTAATAACCCAAGTGAAAGAAAAACAAAATAAAATAAAGAGAATTCCACGGTGAAGGCAACCTATCATTATCGTAAAATTTAAATCTGACTACAAATACTTATTATATTATTTTCTTATTATTTGTTATATTTTGTGTTTAAAATAGGGTTAATCTCACAAATCTTTGTTATTGAATTAATTGCTTCAAAGCAGAACTTTGGTACGCTCGATACAGTTATCATATATCTACCCAAAATAAATTATTTGATAAACCGTGTCAACATCAAAATTCAAAAGGGGTCAATTAGACAAACATTCAAATTAGAAAAGCCTTAGATCAAAGCCCGTCCATTATTATGAAATCACTACCATCACCCTAGAAGCACTTTTTGGTTTTTTTGTTTTTTGTTTTTTGTTTTTTTGTCATTTTCATATACAATAACAAAAAACACACACACAAGGGAAACACTAAACCAAACGTTTGGTTGGAGGATTTAAACCATGTGATTCGAACCATTTTCGATTTACGTAAATTTTTTGTGAAAGAAAATATTATAACGAACTACGAATCATGATTCGAATCAAGCAACGAATTCCTCTACCAAACATTTGCCCCAATAGGCAATAACAACAAGAATACAGAAGGGCCTTCGTATATAAGCTTAATGCCAACTATCAAAGTAGTGAATCAGGAGAAGTGAGAAAAGGCAGAACATGTGATGGAATTATAAGATTTACAGAGACTTGAAACTGGACCCTTTATCATTGAAAAACAGAAAACTGAAGATTCAAAAATTCAAAGAATTGCCCTGCTTTGTGATTTTCGTGATTGGCTAAAGCTCAATGTTGAGCATCTTTGAGAAATTGAGAGAGTGGTTTGACTACTTTAGACTTTAGAGTTAGTAGACAGCCATGGCTAAGAAGTTCAATGTTTTTTTCTTTTTTTCAGAGCTGGATGAATTTATTGCCTAGGGGACTTCAGGTCCACTTTGTTCCCAATATTTGTTGAGAAATCTAAATCTTGTACCTCCTTGTTGCTATAAGATACCTAGACATGAAAATAAATAGCTATTACACTTGCTAACCGTGCCATTATTTGTTAAAGGGTTATTGGCAAAAATAATCTTCCACCTATTTAGTAAGTGACAGTTTGGTTTTTAAATTTTTTTTTTTTTGCCAAACGATTCCAAATCTCTTTAAACAGGTACAGTTTGGTCATTTCCGTTAACATCTGTTAAATTTTTCACAGAAAATTGCACGTGCCCCTCACATGACTTTCTAATACGAGGAAGAGGAAGAAGGCAACGAGGTGTACTGAAAGCTGTAGAATCTTCCTGATGGAGAAAGGGAACGGAGTATAGGTCCGCTCGATTTTCTAAAAGATACCGCCATTTTTTCTTCTTTGCAGTGGAGAGAGAACGTTTAGGTGAGGAGGGAGAAAGACAACATATTTTTGTCCTTTTATGGGTTGTGATTGTCGTTGTCGTTGCTATTTCTTTCTTTCTGCAATTGCTTTTGTTGTTGTTGTTGTTGTTGTTGCTGTCTTCCATTGTCGGCGACAGATGTTGGGGATAAATATCAGTAGCCTGCGATAGCTTATCATTAACATTGATGATCTTCAGTATATTCCATTTATTCCTTGAATTTCTACTTTATCAATGTAATTTTTTCCTACTTAATAATGCTGTTATATATTATCTTTTATTTTTAATTGATTTCTTAATTTTCTTCTCTTGGTTTATGCTGTTGATCGGGTTTAGCAGTCTTGTCGACATGAAAAATTTTGGATTTAAACTATTCGTAATTGAGATTTAAACTATTCATCATTGACTCTGATGGAAGTTGGGGAGATTTAGGGTTCTGGAGATGAAATTTAGGGAAAGAAGAAGAAGAAGAAGAAGTCTTTCAAATGATGGCATTTAAATCATTTTATTGAAAAAAGGGTCACATAAGGGGTCACATGACACATTCTGTGAAAAATTTTACAGATGTTAACGAAAATTACTAAATTGCACATGTTTAAAGAGGTTGGGGGTCGTTTGGCCAAGAAAAAAAAATTAGGGACCATATTGGAACAAATGGAATCTAAGATCTTGCATCATTTGTCTTCTAATATTGCGATAATGAATAATATTCCCTTTTATTATATTCTTTGCAAAAGAAATAAATTCTTCAACCTCTTTCTTATGTTCGTTACTCAACCTATTTGCAAACATCCATTTCTTATCCATTGCTACACAAAAAACTAAACAATAAATATCTCATTTACCCAAATACATAAATCATACAATTACTCAAAATAACATATTAAAACCCAACACCCATATTACTCAAAATCATAAAACATAAACAAAATTCATTATCTACCTAACAAATTCAAGACAAATAACAAAAACTCAACACCCATATTACTCAAAATCACAAAACCTAAACAAATTTCATCATCTACATAACAAATTCAAGATAAAAATAAAAAACCCACCACCCATATTACTCAAAATCACAAAACCTAAACTAATTTTATCACCAACATAAATAAATTTTATCAAACAACAAACACCCAACATCTATAATACTCAAACCAATAAAATCTAATCCATTTTCTCCATTTTTTTTTTATCAAATTTATACCAAAAAAAGAAAAAATTAATGAAAATTACTTGATGTTCTTCACGGATTTGTGGTCCTCCTCGGATTTATGGAGAAAACAACGGCAAACAGAAGGAAGAAGGGGCCTATTTGGGGTGATAGCGTTGTCTGGGCGGAGAGATTGATAGAATAACTCAGTAGGCAGACATTTTGATTTTCTAGTGAATTTCCTGAAATGAAGTTTTGCTGGGTTAAAAATTAGATTTAACGATGATGACAGTTTTATGAAAAACCGTTGTTAAAGATACAAATATTAGATGGCGATTTTTTTATTAAAAAAAAACTGTCGTCTATAGTTGCTACGTCAACCATCGCGTTTTTAGTGACACGTTTGACGATAGTTTTATATAAAACCGTCGTCTAATTAACATCGTTAAATCCATAATTTTTTATAGAGAGAGATTTCAATACTCCGAACAACTTTCATGTGGTTTGGCTTGTCTTTTAAATTTTAGTTGGTCCGATAATTCTTCCGAGATATTTATCACATTTTGGACTTTATTAAATAGGGACCCTTAATACTATCATTACATATCCGCTAATTTTCATGAGTATAAGATTCAATAAGACACGTAAAATGAAATATTAACTATTGCCTTTAATTTTAGAAGTAATTAACAAGGAAAAAGAAACATGTTTGATTGGTTTAAAGTTATCAAGAAAATATAAGCTTAACAACAAAATAATTAGTAGGTAATCATAATATATCAAATTCGACAATTAACTAGTAAATAATCAAATCAAACAATTAACTTAGTAAACAAAAAAATCATAACCATTTCGAAAACAATAACACGCATATTTGATGATTATTACCCTTTGAAACACTCCCTGTGGGTTGGGCTCAACAATTTTTTATTTTTTTGTGGGCCAAATTTTGAATTCTTGTTGGACAACCAGTAACTCACGTCGTTGTCTTTCATATAGGCCGAACCATGATAAGTCCATATGAGAAGAAGTAGGATAAAAGTCTGGCTTAAGCATGATACCTCCTGATACGGGTGCACAGGCGGGTGGATTTGCAGGTGCGGGTCCTTCTTTTTCTTTTTTTTTTCCCTTTTGCAAGAGCAGGTTAGAACGTGGTGAAACCGCAAACCGCAAACCGCCCGAGGAAGGGCTGGCGTTTTGCGGGCAGGTTGTGGCGTTGGTTAAGCCTAACTAGTTCCAATGGGTTTTTTTGAAAATAAATTGGGTAATTTTTACAAATACCCCTTAAAATAATACTATTAAGGATTTTTGAGTTTCAACATTAGTCTATTAAATTTTGTCCTTTTAGAGTAAGTAATTTGACAAATTACGCTAGTTGGGGGTCTCCGGTCGTGTGCAGCGAGTCTCCAATCGCCAATGACGGGCGTAATTTGATAGATTATTATTAAAAAAGATAACATATCATAACAAAAGGATAGAGCTCCAGAATGATATATTTAAGGGTCAGTTTTTACAATTTTCTCAAATAAAAATCATAAAAATGTGTAACAAATTGAAATTAAAAGCACCTTTTGGTTTTTTTTTTAAATAAAAGTTAATTTTTTTTCGTATCTTTTTTAAAGTGATCAACATGAATAATGAGTTTTTTAATCCTATCATATTCCATGATACTTGTAAAAAAAAAAAAAAAGAAAAGAAATATCAACTCATCAAGGAATGCATAAGATTATTTACATGGTATAATTGAAGATATTCAATCCCATAAATGCTATTTATTTATACATATATATTATTTTTATAGTATGTTAATCCAATTTTTCTAATATCTTTTTAAGTAGGCAACTAATATTTAATAAGAGTAAAGAGTTTAACAATTTTTTTTATCCTACCTAATTAATCATTAGAATTCAATAACTACAATATGATTATCAAACACCATTTATTTTTCATCATACTTGTTAAAAAAGAGAAAAAAACATCAACAAATTCATACTTAGATCGTAACCTAATATTTAATACCTCTAAGTCCAAATAATTTATGGCTATGCTTAGGCATATTGATAAGTTTTTACCCAATGAAAGTCAACAAATACAGTTAATAGTACCCTAATATATAAACCCAACTTTATATAATATTCATGTCTTAGTGCTCAAATCTTAAATAAAAAAACCAAAAGAAAGGCAGGTGGATCGGGTTGACCTCGCCCTTTAAAGTGCAAAACCGCAAACTACCCTTGGGCGTTGAAACCACGGGTTGGGTGGGCTGGGCGGGTTTAGTGGTTCTTTTGTGCACCCTACCTCCTGGCTTAGGTTGTTAAGTGAGCAATTGTAGAAAATGCCATGAAATATCGGTGTGGTTGATTTATGCCACTCACTAAAAGTATTGCGTAGAATATGTCTGAGGGCAGTTAATTTTTACCTTATATTATTCCTTTAAATTTCAAATATTCATAGGATTTCGGCTTCCGTGTTTCATCTCGACCAATCACAAGAAATATTAGTTAATTACCGTGCACAATAGTTGCATGGCAAGATAGAGTGCAATTGCTCCAAAGCCCATTCAATTGTCTCTAAAGTCCGCGGCTAGAAACGACTACTTTGGTTTTGACAATCTCTAATATAAACCGAAGATATGATTCATTTTTCAAGACATGATCTCTAGTTTTGACAATTTCGGTGGCTATTGCGCATGGCCAGATCCAATAATGCTGCATTTTTGTTTGTGACTTCTGTGGGGGGTTTTCTTTTTTTGTTTTTTTTCTCCTTTTTTTTGGATTTTCTTAACATTGTTGGATTTTTTTTTTTTTTTTTGGGGTGATTTTTCCATGTATTACGGTGAGAATACATCTCCGGACAATAACTGTGAAGTATCATGTCAAGATAACAACTATCTCTAGCAAGTTGGTAAGTAGTGCAAAGAATCATGGCAGGACACTCACGGTAATTGGCTAGCTTTCGTTGGTTGCCAAAACTTTTAGTGTCGCAACGGGATATCTTTAAATATCATGATTAAATCGTTAATTCGCTATCTCTGTTAACATGATATTTTCTGCAATGGATTTTTTTTTTTTTTCAAAATAAAAAGGATAATTTTTATAAATATCCCTTAAAATGGTACTATTAAGAATTTTTGAGTTTTAATATTGGTCTATTGAATTTTACCCTTTTTGAGTAACTAATTTGACAAATTACGCTGGTTGAGGGTCTCCAGTCGCGGGCAGCGAGTCTCCGATCGCCAGCGACAGGTGTAATTTGACAGATTATTATCTATAATTTGACAGATTATTATTAAAGGGATAGGCTATCATAATAAAATGATAGAACTCCAGAATGATGTATTTAAGGGCCAGTTTTTACTATTTTCTCAAATAAAAATCATAAAAATGTGTAACAAATTGAAATTAAAAGCACCTTTTGTTTTTTTTAATAAAAGTTAATTATTTTTTCTTATCTTTTTAAAGTGATCAACATGGATAATGAGTTATATAATCCTATCATATGCCATGATACTTGTAAAAAAAAAAAGAAAAGAAATATCAACTCATCAAGCTGGAATGCATTAGATTATTTACATGGTATAATTGTAGATATTCAATCCCATAAATGGTATTTGTTTATACAAATATACTATTTTTATAGTATGTTAATCCAATTTTTCTAATATCTTTTTAAGTAGGTAATTAATATTTAATAAGAGTAAAGAGTTTAAATTTTTTTATCCTACCTAATTAATCATTAGAATTCAATAACTACAATATGATGATCAAACACCGTTCATTTTTCATCATACTCGATAAAAAAGAGAAAAAACATCAACAAATACATACTTAGGTCGTAACCTAATATTTAATACCTCTAAGTCCAAATAATTTATGGCTATGCTTAGGCATATTGATAAGTTTTTACCCAATGAAAGTCAACAAATACAGTTAATAGTATCCTAATATATAAACCCACCTTTATATAATATCCATGCCTTAGTGCTCAAATCTTAAAAAAACAAAAACAAAAAAAAGGCAGGTGGGTCGGGTTGACCTCGCCCTTCAAAGTGCAAACTCGTAAACTGCCCCTAGGCGGGTTGAAACCACTGGTTGGGCAGGCGGGACGGGTTTAGTGATTCTTTTGTGCACCCTACCTCCTGGCTTAGGTTGTTAAGTGAGCAATTGTAGAAAAAATGCCATGAAATCTTGGTGTGGTTGATTTATGCCACTCACTAGAAGTATTGCGTATAATATGTCTGAGGGCAATTAATTTTTACCTTATATTATTCCTTTCAATTTCAAATATTTATAGGATCGGCTTCCGTGTTTCGTCTCGACCAATCACAAGAAATATTGGTTAATTATTGTGCACAATAGTTGCATGGCTACATCATTAAGATAGAGTGCAATTGCTCCAAAGTCCATTCAATTGTCTCTAAAGTCCGCAGCTAGCGACTACTTCTTTGGTTTTGACAATCTCAATGATCTCTAGTTCAAACCGAAGACACGATTCATTTTTCAAGACATGATCTCTAGTTTTGACAATCTCGATGGCTATTGCGCATGGCCAGATCCAACAATGCTGCATTTTTGTTTGTGACTTTTGTAGGGGGTTTTCTCTTTTTTTTTTTCCTTTTTTTTGTTTTTTTTTTGTGTGTGATTTTTCCATGTATTACGGTGAGAATACATCTCCGGACAATAACTGTGAAGTATAATGTCAAGATAACAACTATCTCTAGCTAGTTGGTAAGTAGTGCAAAGAATCATGGCAGGACACTTACGGTAATTGGCTAAGTTTCGTTGGTTGCCAAAACTTTTAGTGTCGCAACTGGATGTCTTTAAATATCATGATAAAATACTCACGATCGTTAATTCGTTATCTCTGTTAACATGATATTTTTTGTAATGATTTTTTTTATAATATAAATTAATTTAATTCGTGACATTTCTTTTCAAGTCCCCATGGCAACTTTTTCATGGGGTCGAATCCTCATCTTTTCCAGCTCAATAATCCAAATTTCTAAAATAACGTCAATATTCCAATAAACAAAATTTGTTGACAATTTTTGCAATTATGTTTGTGTGAATAATATAATATAATATTATATTATAGATATCTCCGACAGCTAAAATTGATGTAATGTAGTTTGTTTGGCTGGAAACTTGATTAACTAATCTTATTATATTCTTGAAGAAGTCTCTCAGATAGATGTAAAAAAGTCTGTCCGCATCAATCTTTACTTTTTTAGAGGCCCGTTTGGTATTGCTTTTGGATGCTACTTTTACATTTTTTTAAAGAAATTACAGTATGTTAGGGTGTTTGACTAAATTTATTTTTGTTCAGCAGCTTTTAAAAACTGTTGTCTGATAGTAAAATTTAAGAAACATGTCAGATGTTGTTTTTTCACAGCAACTTATGCTGTCATTGTCTAAATTTACTAAAATGACCCTAATAATAAAACTTAATTCCCAATCAACTCATTTTATTTCTTCCAAATCAAATTAAATAATATATTTTATTTTAAATGTTTATTTGAAAATTAAAAACCTTTAATAAATATCTTATGCTAAATTTTAATAATATATTTTTATTGTAATGTTGCAAGTTTGAAAAATAATTTACCTTCAGTTCTTTACATTATTTAATTTTTTATAGATATATAATTTATCTCCTTAAATAAAATCAATTTATTTTTAGAGATATTTTAATTAATAAAATGAAAGTTATATTTTTATAGTATTTTAGTGTATAAATATTATGAATATTGACTATAAAATAGAAATAAAACTAGTTATAAATATAAGTGTTAAAGTATGTCTATTTTAATTATTATATATTTTCACAATAATTTTGTACATAATTTATCAAACACTTAAATTTTTACTTGTGCTAAACACTTATATGTTTCTACACACAACAACTGTAATTAACAACACAATAGTATCATAAATTTTCAACAATGCAGTAATATTAAATTGGCCTAGAATATCGTTTCAATTATGATGCCTGCTGCAAAAAAACAAAAAAATGTGTTTAAATACTTTTCACGTGGCCGATATACTATTCTACCTACCTTTCACTCAAAATATTCGAACTTTGACGAATTTTAAGACTACATACAAACCTATCAAACAATTTCAAAACGGTTCATATGCACAGTGGAACACTATTTTCACGTGCGTTATTGTACTCATTGTAAAGATAAAAACAATCTATCTACCTTTGCTGTGCTCATAATTATAAAAGAAATAAATTAATCACTAAATTCAAAATTAATTAGCCGGCCAAGTAAATTATATATAGGGCTAAGCCAGCCAAATAAATTATATATAGGGCTAAGCCAGCCAAATAAATCCACACACTTCTCCATTCGAGTCTCTCGACACCTTTGTCCACAGCGCATAGAATGGTAAGGTCCTCTAGCTATTATAAAAATGGGTATGCGTGCATGCTTATTTATATATATATATATATATCCCATATATATGTATATGCAACAATACTGTATATATGTATATGCAACAGTACTGGAGCAATATTTTCTCGTGCGTTATTGTACTCATTATAAAAAAGAAAAAATCTACCTACCTTCATTAGTTCATTATATATAAAAAATATATATATATTATGCACTAAATTCAAAATTAATTAGCCGGCCAAATAAATTATAAATAGGGCTAAGCCAACCAAGTAAATCCACACACTTCTCCATTCGAGTCTCTCGACACCCTTGTCTACAGCGCATAGAATGGTAAGGTCCTCTAGCTATTATAAAAATGGGTATGCGTGCATGCTTATATATATATCCCATATATATGTATATGCAAGCTTTATAAATATATAAATAAATATATATATATATATTCCATGATGTTGCATAAGGTAAGAGACGGAGAACATGGTTACACCAACTTCATAAGCTTTGTCTAGCTGAATTAAATCATATAATTGTTGTCAATCTCTTGTATTGTAGTATCTCCCCATATATATATATATATATATATAATAATAATAATAATAATAATAATAATAATTTATAGTCGCTTTATAAAATATTTTGTAGGCAAGCCAGACGGTTGCGGTAGGAAATTGGGGTGGACCCGGTGGTAATGCATGGGACGATGGGTCATACACTGGAGTTCGAAGTATAGAGCTTACTTACGGCAATTATATTGGTACTTTTAATGTGGTTTACGATTTGAATGGTGAACCTTTTGATGGGCCAAAACATTCTAGTAATCGTCCCCTCACAACTGCAAAGGTTAGGTTGTTCATTTTTCTTTTTTAGCTATATACATACATATTAAAATAAGATAAATTGCGGTGGATGGTCCTTTTCAAAGCCAATTTTAACTTTTATGTAAATATCCCTTAATTGGTACGTAAAAAAAAAAAAAGACGTATGTTTAAAATAAAATTGACTTTCGTAAATCATTGATTGATTTTTGTTAAATTATTGATTGATTTACTACAGATATTTTCCTGATTTGACAAGATGTTAGGGACATTTACATTAATTTTACTTTTAAGAAAAAAGGTCACTTTTGCACCTATGATCACAATAATCAATATTAATAACAATGGCTTTTATGCGTGCATGACGTAATCAGATTGAACTACAATTCCCAGATGAGTATTTAGTGAAAGTGAGTGGAATCGTCAATAACGTACCTGGTGCAAGCCCTTCTCCAACAATACAATCACTGACCTTCCAGACCAACCAGAGAACTTTTGGACCATATGGACCTGAAACAGGTGGCACTCCTTTTAGCCTCCCAATTAGGAACGGCTTGATTGTTGGTTTCAGTGGAAGAACCGGTGAAGTCCTTGACGCCATTGGCGTTCACTTGGCACTTTAAGATCATCATGATCTTGCAACCTGGCTTATTATTAGTAAATAAAATGACATCTGCTTCTAAGATGTCTTGGCTTTTTATAAATAATGTCAAATCAGAACGAGGTTTATAATGGTAATATAATTTGTTGGTTTTAATGTACTGGCTATTATTACCGTGATATACGCCTTTGATGATTTGAAGTAGTGGTTTGTTTGTTTGTAATGTTTAAAATGAGCTCTCTATGTAGAACCTTTTAAATAAATAATAGCCACACGCTATATTTTTATCTTTTTTCCCCGTCTCTCTTGCTCTAATAATTTCCAATCTTTTTAAGAACAAAATATGTATTGCACACAAAATAGGATGGAAAGCGACAAAAAAAAAAAAAAAAAAAATAATAAAAAAAAAAAGGAGAATATGAATCAAAAGGTTTGAAAGATAAGGACGAAAAGACAAATTGTTCGAAGGGTGATCAACAGGTTATTTGGTTCACCACTTTTTTTTTTTTTTTTTTTAAATATATATCGATTGAATAACTAGTACTCTATGTTCTTTTGTTGCTGCGTATCAGTTGTTGCTACCTCTAATATTGCCTACTTTTCTGTAAGTATATTTGCAATTTGGCGCCATTTGAGTTATTGATAGTTAAGATGAACTTAACTTTAAGCAATAATTAAACTTAAATTCTATAAAAGAAATAAATGCATGAAGCCAGTTAGTTCATATAGTAAACCAATTCAGATTAGAAATAGCCAATTACAGCCCATAATAACAACATGTAATAAACAAGATATTATGACTGAATATCCATTTTGCAAATTACAGCAAATATCATATTCCCAATGAGCACTCACTAAAACTAAAACCATGAAAAACGTACACTGCGTACTCTTATAAAGCTGATCAGGTAAAAACCCCCCAATAACAGAGAAGGACGCCCGCACATGTAACAAGTGAAAGGAGAAAAGTAGGCTGAATAATACTAAAATAGAAAGCAAACCAATAAACTCACTCACTTTAATGCTCTCTTAACACTCAAACTCATTAGAATTTTAATAATAATCATAATCCATGTTAGCGAAGGCTTACGTACTTACCAGAAAAAATTCATAATCTACAATCACAGCCATTAGAATATATATATATATATATATATATTATAGTATACATCAGATCAAAAATGGTAAATACGCACTTTGTAGCCACTGTTGATTCATGTCGTGCAACACAATACCATTCATATAAATATGACCACCAAAAGACGAATCAAAATGAAAAAAGTTTCCAGTCTAATGGTTTTCAAAATATTTTATTTTATTGGTGTTATCAGCAATTCATAATTATTTATATTATTATAATTATTTATATTTTTTTCAAAGTTGAGTTGGGGCTTCCCATAGATCTTTTTTTATTTTTTATTTTTAAGAAAGAGAGTTTCTTGCATGTTTCAATTATTCATTGTTACAATTATTTCAACACTTAAATATTTCAGAAGTCCAGATAAGGGTATCATTCATATCCTTTAAGAAGTCTGAATAAGTGTATCATTCCGTGAATATGAGAATGGCCACTCAATTCTAACATGTTCGAATATTTTTCACGTGGCCGATTATTCTATCTACCTTTACTCTAACATATTCGAACTTTGATTTGCACAGTTGAACAAATTTTTTTTTTTTGCCTCGTGCGTTATTAATCGATCAACCTTTACTGTACTAATTTAAGCACAAAAATTTCAAATAAATAAGCTATTCATATAGAGCTAAGCCAGCCAAGTAAAACCACACACTTCTCAATTCGAGTCTCTCAACACCTTGTCCAAAGCGTATACTATAGAATGGAGACTGCGATCTGGATATTATAGAAACGCATATGTATGCAAGCGTGCATATATGCCTGGGAGAGTTTTTTAAAAGCTATTTTTGGCTTTTTAAGTTCAAAAGCTGCTTCTGAAAGTGTTTAGATGATCTGTCATATGTGGTTTAATTTTTTAGAAGAGCTTCCAATCAAAGTCAAAAATTGTGGCTTCTAAAAATAACACTTCTAAATATCCTTGGAAACTTGTACCAGAGTTTAACTAAGACATTATAAACTTAATTCTAACAGTTTTATTGCTTATTATAAAATTTAAAAATTATTTTGATCCATTAAGCTATTGATTCTAAACACTTACAGAAAAGTCACAATTTTTGTTTTTCTTCTTTTACTAGCTAAAAATAAAAGCAAAAGTTATGTGAGACGGACTCATACTAGGTGGGAAAAGTGCTTTGCACGTGTTAGATTTTAGACTAGCTTTTATTCTTTGGTATATTGTTTTTTGGTTTGGAATATTCTTCTGTAAGCATCTAAATTCAAGTGATCAGATCACATTTCCTTTGTTACATCAACACGTTTAACATGATTCACCACCTTTTTTTTTTTGGTCAGTCATGTACGAGTCTTGAATTTATGTGATTATTAATATTCATTTATTGTATAATGTGGATCTGCAGGGAGCAGGAAGATGGAGCGAAAGTGGTAAGAGTGGAAAATCTGAATAATCAGGACAATTTTGATTGGAGATTTATGAAAATCTGAATAATCATGCTTTGATTCTGATAACCTTTTCCTTCAAACACTGATGAGTTGTTCCACTGTGTACAATTTTGCTCAGTTTTTATTTATCCTTACATTTTCTATACTGTCCTCTTTATCTTACAGGTAACACCAGAATTATACATTCATACACACACACAAATTTATATATATATATATATACACACACATATATATATTGTAATGCGTACATGGTCCATTTTTTTTAATATATAACTTGAATAACCTCAAGTATTAACGGAGAAAATTATATTATACTACGGTTCATTAAATGAAATAAAACATGTCGAAAAGAGAGACGATCAACGATCCAAGAAAGTACATGTGTGTTCATTATATATAGTAGTGATATCTTAGGGGCCAAATTGATGGCCACTACTTACATAGACTTAAAAGAGATAATTTCATTTAACAAAATTAGAAGCAATATCGAGAATTTGTTACTTGACTTTAATAAATTTGTATGGATTGGTGCAGCCATCAATGGAGGTGTTCAAGGACATTGTTGAGGAGTTAGAAAATGGGAGAGAGAATTCTAACGGTGCGGAGCAGGAATTCATAGGTAGCTACTTTTCATATTTATTAACGGGATATTTACACGTCTATACTTTGTGTTTTGTGTTTATTCAAATAGTATACTCTAAATTTTTAGTCTCATTAAATATATACCTTCAAATTACGATTAATATATAAATCTATACCTTTTGTGGGTAAACACCTGAGTTTGACATCGTGAATTTATGAAATTAACCTTAATGGGGATTGTACAATGAGACATATCCTTGTTGCCAAACAGATATAGTTTTGTGTATTGGCTGAGGGGGAAAAAAAAAAGAGAGGGAGAAAAACTTGCTAAAAACTCAAAACGCTGCGTTTTTGTGTTGCCTTGATTGTATATAAGGTGGGGCGGGAAGATTTTTTTCCTCATGAAGATTGCAGAGAAACTGAAGACTTTTGTTTTCTCTCTTCCTGTTGCAACTTGAACGTAGCCCTCACCTACCTCCACAGTAGACAGTTTTGAAGCTTTTTCACGCGTCAATCGTATTGTTGTGCTTTGTGGAGAACATAACCCAACCAACCCCAAGTCAGCAAACCCAAGAGGAGAACTTGGGAGGCAGTGATTTTGCTGCCTTTTGACGTCTTTTGCGGTAAATTTGCCTTTTGGATTATGTACATGAGGCTTTAAACTGTTCATCACGTGTGTACATGCTTCATGCTCTTACTATGCTGTAAATGAGGAGTTTTAACTGTTATTATGGTTGTATATGCCTCATCTTTTTGTTTTACTTCTAAATGCCATTGGCAGAAATATGAAGTACGTATATATCTTCTTTTGCAAAGTTGAACATGTGTTTATATTTACACATGACTGAATATTATGATCTTTTGAAATGATGTATTAAGTAGTTTATAAAATGAGTGCATTATCTATTTCATTATTTATTTTTTGTCAATAATTGTTCTTTCTTTTTAATTTTATGTAAACTATTTTCGTGTTTAGTTCCATGTATAAACTAAATATTAGTGGTTGTTTGGTTATAGCTTTAAACCACTTATCAAAGGTAGTTTATGAATTAAAAAGGCTTTCTCTCGTCAAAATCAAGTATTGACTCACAAAAGATGTCAATTTATATATTAATCGTAATTTAAAGGTATGCATTTAATAAGATTAAAAATTAAGAGTATATTTTTTAAATAAACATAAAACACATGTATAAATATTTAAATATCTCTTTATTAATTGATCAGCCAATGTTCCATCCAAATGCCACCGTTAAGCAGCTCAAATATGGAACCTATAGAAAATTTCTAACCTCTTGGCTACTAAATGGATGCTTCTTATTATTGTCAGTACAAGACACACAACACTATTAAATTTCTATTTGTTTAATGTTTCTTAATTCTTATGGTAATTAGCTCTTTTTTTATATATAAATATATATATTTGCAGATCTAAGGTGGAGCGTACCTTGTGGACCAAACACCGTGATTACACTCCCAGGCGCACCCTGGTTGAAGCCCTGGTATTGGTGGTCAATTGGTGGTCATGGCCTGTTCTGCCTTTAGGCATTTCTTGGCATGAACGACGCCGTTAAACTCTTGAGCTTAGCTATTAAATGTTCATTCTTAACTCTTCCCAATTACTATGAATATAGAATAATTTATATTAATTTAATATAAAAACCATATAATAGAATTTCAAATAAATATTAAATATTTAAATAGAACATAACAATTAATATACTGATTAATATAGCAATATATAATTTTGATCTATATATCATAGCAAATATATGATTATCAATAATCAATATCTTAATTAGATAGTCAATTTTTTTTATTTAAATGATATTTGAAATTTAAATTTTTTTTTTACTAATCTAATTCTATTTTCTATTTCTTTAATATTAAACTATTTTATTACTATTAAATTAATATATAAACTATTAATTTTATGACTTATTAGAGAGATTGTAATGTGTTTTTCAATTTAGATCATATATTTTTTAGACTGTTAAAACACGTGTGTCAATAATTTAGAAAAGAAAAAACCCGCTGCAACGCGTGATTATTGCGCTGCAGTGGATGAGACAGCACCATTTCACTGCCAAACCCGATGCAGCGCCTCTGCTGCAGCAGTTTTGCTGCCAAACCCGCTGCAGCGGGTTTTCTGCCGAAAACACGTGTTTTGTGTGTGATTTGTGATCGGAAATGTTTCAAACTATTGCATCAATTGGTAATATATTTTTACGCATATCTAAACACCTATTAATAATAGATATAACTGTTGTAATAGATGAATTATTCCATAAAGAGATACCTTTACATTGAAAATGTACTTTTATGTGAATGGTTATGATGTTTGAAGATAATGTGTTCATTTATAAAATGAAACCTCTGTCTTTACTCTTCAGAAAATTTAGAGACTTTATCTTTGTTTTGGAACACAATATTATCGTTAGATATTGTGTTTAAGAGTTTGTTATATCTTGAGGATAATTTGCCATTAAAAACTTTGAGAAGTGAGAGTAAATAAAATCTGATTTCTTTTCATTCTCTTCTTCCTGATCTGCACACAAAATTCTCCAGACTAACATCCAATATTCAATAGTTAATACACTTTCCTTCAAGCAAAAAAAATAAAATAAAATACACTTTCCATTTCCAAACTAATTCTCAGACTGTCAAAGCCGGTTCACAATCACCACAGAGGTGTCTCTCCGTGCCTATCTCGCTTGAAGCAGTGATCTTACTACCTGGGTTCCAACAAAGATCTTACAACGGGCTTAACAAGTGATGTATCTGATCGTCTTTCTCACCAGTACTGATCTCTTTGCGCAACACTGCACCATCGACGCACGAGATCTCCTCATCGCCAATTATCCTCCATGTAGCCCATGCCTTTCATCGGATCTCCCCATTCACGTCCACGTCTCTGCTTGATCCCAGCGATGTAACTGCCGCTGTCATAATCGAAGTCGATATTCAACAAAAAGGTAAAAATTGTCTCTTTTACCCCTATTATTAAAAAACGATGGGTTTTAAAGGATGTAAGAGGAGGTGCTATGAATAAACAAGTAGTTATAGTATCTGTTTATTTCGTTAATTTGAGTTCAGATATAATTTTATGTGAAAATTTTTTATTGTAGTAAAAAAATTAAATATGATTATTTTTAAAAAAATTTTAGCAAAACTAAATTCTAAATTTGAATCAAATTGACACGAATGTTTAGAATGACCACCACAACGTACTAAAAGAGATGTTGTTGTGATCCTCGGCGCCATCCCTCTAACATTGTTCTAGTTCTTTACCGTGAGTAGATCCCACGTGAATGGGAGACTCACGGGTATTACCACGTGATTGTGATGCTTGTCACCAATACTCTTTTATCATTTTCCTTTCTCTCAATAACAATACAACGCTATTTATATCACGTCAGAACAACGGTGTCGTGTAAATTTTTCTGCTTACCACCAACGCTTCAAGTCTCCTGTCCAAATGCCACGAAACATCCCAATTCCCAATACCACAACTGGTACCCAAAAACAGCAGTCTCTCTCTCTCTCTCACAACTGAATAAATAAATATAAATTAATTAATTAATTAAAAAAAAAGTCACCGTCACGCGGCAAAAAAAAATTGTTGGCGTTTCTTGGCCTTTTTTTCCACCTTATTTCACAAACCGTGTGCTCTCCACCCGCTGAATTTCCCGCAAACGACTACAAAAACCAACCCCCAATAATTCCATTTCCAACACAGAACCAAAAAGAAGAGAAATATCGCAAAACGGAATCCACAAGAAACGACACGCGAAATGTGCAGATCAACGGATTATTACCGCTTCAATCCAGTCAACCGGTTGAAGATTCGATCGTTCGCCGTCGGGTTTTCGGGTTTTGATGCCGGGAAACCGTTGCCTCAGTCGCTGACGCTCGTTTACCTGCCGAGAATCAACGAGAGCGCGCTCGAGGTCTCCGGGTCGAAGATCCGACCCGATTCGCAGGCGTTTGTGACTCTCCACCGCGGCGTGGCCGGAAACGGCGAGGAAGTTTCGTTCGGGAGTAGAGATCGGGTCGTCGTCAGCGAGGGTGTGAGGTTCGAGGTTTACCTGGGAGAAGAGAAGGTTTTGAAAGGGAATTTTAGGAAGGATGAAGAGGACGAGTGGAGATTGGAGTGCCGGTGCGCGATGGAGAGAGACATCGACGGCGCGGCGGCGGCGGAGGTTAGGGTCTCGGCGGAGGGAGGCGTGATGAGAGAGAAAGTGGCGATGGCGGTGGAGAGGAGGAGGCGGCGGCGGTGGTACGGACGGGGGTTGGAGGAGATTCCGGAGGAGAGGGAGGATCGCTGCGAGTGTGATTGTGGGGGATCGGGCGGTGGTGATTTGGGGAGTGGTTGGGATGATGAAGTGGACGGCGGAGATGAGGAGGAGGGGATTGAGATGGATATGGATGTGGAGGGAGTTAGATGGGCCGTGGATGTTGGGATTTGGGTCATGTGTTTGGGCGTGGGCTTTTTGGTTTCTAAAGCCTCTTCCAAGACTTTGAGACGCAGAAAATTACTATGATTTTTTTCTTTTTCTTTTTTAAGAAAAAAATGATTTTTAAGGAGTTTAGTTCATGGATTAAAATCATGTGATTAGAATTATTTTTAATTTATGTGTATTTTTTGTGAAAAAAAATACTATAGTAAACTATTAATCATTATTCAAATCATGGTTTAAATCCTCCCATTAAACATCTCTTAACAGTTTATGATTCTTCCTTAAAGGGCAGAGAGAAATGCCATGAGTCCATGACCATGACCATGAAATTTTGTCACTTTTTTTTATTTTGTTTACAGAACTTAGGACCCGTTTGGTTGAAGGATCTGGATCACATTATCAGAGTCAAGTTTCCGAATCAGTGTTTGGATCCACCAAGTTTCCGAATCCATGTCCGGTTGATTTGAATCAGGGTCTGAGTCATGGGTCCTGATTCATAAATCAACCCCCCCA